TCATCAGTCGTTGACTTTGGCCCGTTCTAAACCCTAACTGTCCATCAGGCAGGGCCGTAGCGAGGGGGGTATTGGGGGGGTGGCTAACCCCCCCCCCCAACTTTTGTAGAATTAACATATTCGGAAAATCGGGTTGGCCATTCGGAAAATTACGGCAATAATAGTATATGCTTTTTTTACGAAAATCATAAGATTCAGGCAATTTATAGGTAATATTTGACTTTTAGTATGTCGGGAAAAAATTTTTGACCCTTAAAATGGTTTCGATTGAAAAAAAAACTTTCCTACATCTTCATATGCCAGCTTCGTATGCCATGAAATATTCGGAAATTTTCTTCGTCATTCGGAAATTTTTGGCCTACACCCCCCCAACTATACATGCTAGCTACGGCACTGCCATCAGGGCCGTGAGCTAGACCACTGAACTCTCCCCCACTATTTCAACCAAAATCTGGCCTTGAATCAGACTATCCACTATTGCATCCTGTAAACCCTTTTAAGTGGCAAAGTGCCATGATGTGCCCTACTTTATTATGTTACAGTTATGTACCTCTGTCTAAATGCCAAACGATTTTACTTGTCAAGGGGAGTCGGTGCTGCCACTCAATGGGTTAATGACGTTTATATTTTCAATCCAGAGAGATAAAGCTGTCGACATGCAACAAATATCAAAATCGGGAAACGGTTTGCTACATGCCGCAGTAAATACAGGAGACCCAAGCATTGTGAGGTTACTGCTTGATGCCGGAGCAGATGTGAATCAAACGAACATGGAATGCGAAGGTGTAATGCCACTTCATTTGGCTATCATGCATTTTGTTGAACTTAGTATTGTTCACTTGTTTGTGTCTGAGTTACTATACCTGGAAATATATCTCAACCATGGTGGTCCAGTGTTAGATCATATTCTATAATAATTAAGCTGTCGTGGTTTGTGTCTGAACTACCTGAAAAAGATATCTCATTAGTTGTGACAATGTTGTTCCAACAACTTGTCAACAAGATGTCTCCGCAACAGGCTTGTAAAAAGCTTGTTAACAAGTTGTGACAATGCTGTTCCAACAACTTCTCAACAAGATGTCTCCTCAACAGGTTTGTAGCAAGCTTGTTAACAAGTTTTGACAATGCTGTTCCAACAACTTGTCAACAAGA